CAAAGTGATGGGCAAATCTGGTAACACCACCCAGGGGACACCAGGGAACTGCTCCCTTGGCCACCATGCACTTACTACTTAGCAGTCCGATAGGTTTTAAATCACCTGTTAAATTTCCTGGGTGGCACATGCAGCATTTAAAGCTCACAGGGCTGGTAACCAGAGCAGGGATAGTTTCCCTGGCCTTAGTTCTCAGCCTTACAGATTTTAAAATTGATGCTTGCACCCCTTAGCTGGGCAGTGGGGTGCATTAAAAGCCTGGGGGGGATGGGAACTGGGGTGGGGATAGCTTCTCCTGCCTCAGTTCCTAGCTCTGTGGGCTTTGAAACTGCCACTCAGCTGGGCAACAGGGGCAACACTTACAACCTGTGGGGCTGGGAACTGGGGTAGGGGCATTCTCCTGGGGTTCTGGGAGGACTCCAGCCCCAATCAAAAAGTGTGGATGAGGTGGGGACTCGTCTCATAGCAGGAACCCTCCTATGACTCCTAGAGGGTACCTGCCACAACACAGTGCCCCTTTCTGTCCTGCCAATCAACAGATTAGTGGGACAGGGGAAGGGTCCCCACAGGGCTCCCTAACAGCTTACCCTTGGGTGGGCTATCAGGGAGCTGGTATTCTCCCCCACTCCCTTTCTTTTGAAGGGAGGCAGGGAGAGCAAAGTACCTTGTGTTATTGGGTATACTCCACACCTGAGAGAAGCGTACGGCCATTAAAGTTATATTGGGAGGAGGATCTTCCTCACAGGTATCTGACTTAACTACTTGTGGAAGCTGCATGGGGCTGGGAGGGAATCTTGCCCCCTTTTTCTACTGTGTGTCAGGTGCGTTTTCTTTGTTTTTAAGCCTTCCTCAGAGGTACTAAATGCTGGCAACAGCCACGGTTGCAGATTTAGGATGGGCTATGCCAGTGCTCCTGCTGGGACTTAAACCCAGAGGTTCCTGACCAGAGAGCCTTTGTCCCTCTGCTCTAGGTCAAAACTGATTGCCAGATTTGGAGTAAGAAAAGGAATTTTACCTCATTGTCAGATGAGTAGGAACTGTAGGGGGTTTTGCCTTTTTTTGTAGCAGAGGGAGTGTGGCTCTCTGCCTGAGATCTTTTGAGCATAACCTTTTACAGAAGCAGGATGCTGGCTGCCATGGTCCCCCTGCTTTGTGTGTGGCAGGTTAGGGTGTTGTCTTGTGTTGGATCAATGTTGACAGAACTTTTATTAAGCAGTTAGATTATGGACTTGTATAAGACATTTTGGATAGGGATGATTCAGCCTCAGGCAGGAGGACTAGGTGACATCTGGAGGTTCCTTCCAGCCCTGCTTCTCTCTGATTTCTATTATTGCTCTATGATTTCTAAGAAGAGTCACTTCTCTTTCACAAGAATCTCTTGAATGGCTGTATGCTCTCTTTTTTTGTGCCAGGAGAAAAGCCTTTCTTTCTACACAAATGTAATTCCTGTTCATGACTTTAGGAGGAACCAAAACACACAGAGATATAGACACAAAATGGAAAATTACTGGCTAGGGTGCCGTACTGGTGCTGCAGGTGATGAGCTGAATATGAGTTTATAGAATACAAGAGGGTATTAACAATGTGTGCAGCCAAAATAGAAAATACTATGGCAAAATGTCCTGTATCCTTATGAATTCCATCTTTCAGAGTAGAAAAACCATAAACAGTATATAATTAGGAGGCCTTTTGAGATGGATCAGCTTTGTTTTGAAATAACCACTCATACCTCACTTGTCTACCTTGCACAAAGCAGAGTCACTTGGGTTCCATTAGTATTTCATACAGAATTTTCATTTTTTTAAAATTTTTAACTTTGTTTTCTTGTGAAAAGAAGATTTTGATCTTATTTATAATATGCAAAAATGACCCACTGCTGACAACAGCATCAGGGTTTCTCTCACACTTCTAACATTTCTGAAAATTATTTAACTGATAGTGTAGACAGGACAAAAATCAACCTCAAAACTGCTACAGAAGACATACAACATCCAATATACTACAAAGTTTCTGTCTTCTTTCCTCTTCCTTGAGCCATGATGCTATTGGATAATAAAATAATGACTATGAAACTTGCTCTAAACTCAGCCTGGTTTTTTATTTTATTTTCTACTTTCCTGCAGCACAAGAGACCCAACCTATACTTATTTTAGGTATAAGATTGACGTGATGAACTGCCAGTACAAAAACAGAGTGGCTGTTGTTACAAACCACATATATTCAATGTTTTCATTACATACAGAAAATAAAAATAGTGTAAGTACTATGATTAGCCCCAAAAACTGCAGAACTGCTATATTTATGATGATCTCTCTCTCATTATCCAAATTAAATATAAAATACAGCCCTAAGAGAAATATCATTTGTAATATTTTTAAAGATGTACAGTGAATGGACATCATTATTCTTTAGTGACATATATAATTGCATATTACCGAGAGAGGTCTCATGAGACAGTACATTAGACAGATATCATTTTGTTCTATTGTGTGAAAGGGTTCTTGCAAGAAGTCAGGAACATGTACAAGAAAATTCCAGAGATCTAATAAATGTGTACCATAATGACATGCCTCTACAGTGCTGTCACTATACTTACCTCTTGATTATCTATATTCTCTCTGGCAGTTTGGTACCGTCTGCAGCTATCAGATAACTTTTCACGAACATGAAGCATCCAACACAAGGCGCACAATTCTCGGAAGCAACCTCCAAAAGACCCCAAAACACAGAATTATGAGAAAGGTTTTGTTCAAACAAAAAAAAAAAAAATGCTTTTTTTAGCAGAACATCTAGAGAACAACTTGTTAATCAAAACTGTTCCTCCATAGATAACAATAATTAAGAGGAAAATGACTAATGCCTCATTTTTCAAATAGCAATATTTAGCATTTGAATCTTAGACACAGAGCTACAAACCAGTCATGGAGGGAATTACAGAGGCCAGCTATCCTGATGGAGTAGATGAAGTTGCAAGATGAAGGGGTAGATGAAGACTGTATAATTTTCAAAATGATAAAATCAAGATTTACAATACAGGACTCCACAAACAATGATGTAGTATGACATTTTCAAGCCAAATTAAAAAAAAGGCTACAGTTCCTCTATACTTGCAACTGATGACTGCAAAATATAACACAGGATAAGTTAGTTACTCAGATTTTATTATGTACAAACCTATTGTTTTACAGGAAATATCATCAAACTGATGGTCTCCAGAAGATGTGAGTTTAAAGAATACTGAACGGTATTTAGAATAATGAAGCAAAGTCTCAGGAAATGGACTTAATGAAGTAAGAGAGCCTTTTATTCGAATCTGTAAGTATAAAAAGAAAACAATGTAGAACATTTTAGTTTTTAGAAATTCATAAATTAACTTATATTCAAATTTGCTTACAAAGTTAAAAATTCTAATCTGCAATTTACCTGCACGTGATAAATCCCATTTAACTCAACAGAAATTTTGCATGTCAGGACAGACTGCCCATCCCCTTTAACTTACTATTTTATAAACAGCTAAGAAAAGTTTCAATTCTTTCCTGGAATCTATTTTAAAGCCCAGTCTTAAGTCAACAAAAATGTACATAGTAGAGATCAAAAGTCTTATTATGCCCATGCTTTGTGCTCAGAGGCTGCTAATTTGCAAGTAGGTTTTCATTTAATGAAATGTGTACAATTTAAAAAAAATGTACACATTTATTACAAAATCGTAACAAAGACTGGACAGTGTTTTGCTCATTCTGGAAAGATGAAGCTCAGTAATACACAACTCCGGACAACTAACCAGAGGTTGTGGCAATATCTTTCTTCTAAACAGTCAGATATTCTTGCATTAAGCTTGGCGAAAACTGCCTTTCGAAAGTGGACTGGGACAATGATCTTTTTTTCCTCTTCATCCGGTCATAAGAGCTGTGATTTATAGGTAGATACGGTTCTTTGGGTAAATCTGATGTCTTTTATTAGACCAACTCAAATAGTTGGAAAAAATATTTGCAAGCTTTTGGGTACAATTACCCTTCATCAGGCAGAAGAAGTGTCTGCAGATCAGTAATTTATAGGGGCACTTTAGTTGTCAATTAGGGTGGGGCTTCTTTCCTTCTCTTGGATGGAGGCATTGCTGTGGCAAATCATGCCACAGGAAGGATATTTTACCATGCACAAATAAGAAGGATAAAATGAGGCTGTATAAAACTGTGAGGGCATAGCCATCAATATCTTATCATGTCGGCTTTGGCTTCTTTAAAAGTTTGACTATAAAGTGCAAACCACAAGAGAAAGAGAAATCAACTGTATGAGACTAGGGCTTCAAGTGGTTGAGACTGTGTGCCCTTTCCCCAGAAGTTTGGTTCCTCAGTAATTTTTACAAAAGATGAGAGTTGCATTTAAACAGGTTTATTTTTTTACCTTCTGCATTATTTTTCTTGCCCGTTTCAGCTGTACAATATACCACTGTGCTGCAGGGTAGGAACAACAAGCAGCCCGGAAGAGCAAAAGAATTCTCTGAAGAACTCCTGACATCTTTTGACGATAATGTCTCTCCATTTTTAAAAGTGGGTCATTGCAGTCTTCCTGAAAAATGCAAAGTCCAAGTACATAACCTAAAAGCCAAGGATTAGGAAGGGTACAAAGATTGAAGGGAACAAGCTATATGTGGAATCTCTGCTCTTAAGAATGTTTATCTTCTTCCTCTTAAAACTAGACACTTCCCTACATACAAGTTGAAAATGAATGGAGACTTTCAAAATGAGTTCTTGCTACTAAGTTAGCTCATCAGAATATGAATAAAGTTATTTTAACAAAAAACGAATTAGAATGTGCTGGAACAAAAGGTATTACTACCCCTTTTAAATTAATTCAAACTACCATCTCTATATAATCCATACCAACTATGCTTACTTCACTGAGGGAAGCTGGCTGGGGACAATATAATGGTGGCGCAGGAAGGTATAGCCCATGAGGCACTAAACCACACATCTTTTTGCTGAGGTCCTTGGCAGATTCCATCAAAAGTTGAAAAGTCTCTGAAAGAATGTCTGCATCTGCCATAACAGCTGCTTTCAGTAGTTCTTGCACTGAACTGAAAAGTATATTTGCATCTTCCTCTTCAATGGGATCTATAAAATACCAAATATTGTAAGCTTTCCTTCTGAAATTAATAAGCAGCATAACCATATTCTAAATTGATCTTCAGAATTTATAACTCATACTCCTGCTTGTTTTAAAATAAAATTTTAAGTTGAAAAACTGCTCCTAGTGTTTAACAATTTATTCTGGTTCTTTGCCACATCTTTTTAGCTAAGTATTTGTTTGGGACAAGATTCTGGCATTTACTTCCACTGAAAAGATAAGGATGTTCCATATTGCAAGATGTGCATGACAGGTCCAGATGCAAGAATGGCAGTTTTTGTGAGGATATGGGGAAACTGAGTTCCTGTTTGCTGTTTTTAATGTATTTTTCCCACCAGGATGACCAGTTTTGTTACTAATCATGATGAAAGTAGCAGAACATCTAATTCACATGACCAATGGATACTTACGATGTGTACATCACTGAGTTTTCTCTCAGGTTCTCTATCCTTCTCCAGCTCCTTTGTAATAGCTGTGACAAATTTGTGCTACTGATGGGTTCTTCACTATCTGCTAGGCCCTCACTACATATTACACTTATAATGCAATTAACTGGTGAATTGCACAATACAATTTAGACCCACCACACATGCAAAGTAAGACCGACCACAAGTGCAAAGTAATTATGCCATATCCAGCTATAAAAAAGCCACCCAGCTACAAAATAAATGCTTGAAAACGTGTAACAACTCTATAGCTGGTTTCTATCCAATCTGAATGTATGGCAGGGACCCATGACTCATAAATCATCTTTGTTAACTTGGATAAAATTATACCAACCATGTCCCAATTACCTTAGGTCATACCTGCATGCACTTGACACAATGGAAAAAGATAGTGAGGGAAGGCCACTTGTTCAGTTTTAAATTCTAACATTTTTAAAATTTAGAATGCAATTAATCTTTTGTACTTTTGGTGTGTGGGACAGAAGAAAGAAAGTAAATATTTTGTTTGTTTTGGAATATCTACTGAGAAGAACAGCTCAGTTAATATTTTGAAGTGCATCTTCAGATAAGAAACATCTGTATTTAAAATAATTTCTTGGAAATGGTAATATGAGTGAATTGTCCAATGTTCAGGATATGGCTAAGACAAAGAACAACATGATACCCAAATGCTAAAAGGAACATGAAATGTGGACTTCAAAACCTAAAACAGAACAAGAAATGTAGATCGTTTCTGTACAGTGAGACTTCCTGGGACACGCAAATAAGGACAGACCAATCTGCCTAGGGGAGACACCTTTGGCAGTCTATAAAATTCCATATTGTAGGTAGGTACTTCATGGTCTGTAACTTGTCTTAATACAGTGCAATTATGTTTTCCATATATCCACATGTCTTTCAGTGTACCTTATCTTTATCATGCTCTGGTGAATAAAATATTCTTGAAGTCAAACCAAGTTTTATGAGATCTTTTACTGGATCAGTTGGACAGTTGCAAACTATTTCAGCTTTCAAGTCTGAAATAGTAAATAACACAACACTAAGTTTTTATGTACCTGTAAACTGTTTGTATTTAGCACTTCCTTCATTTGATGTTTCAAAATTGACTGGCTGTCCCAAAAATGACTGTAGCTTTTCCTGAAAAGTCTGTGTTGGAGACATGTTTAATGGCAGATGTAGTTCTGTTTTCTCTGACCTAAAATAAAAAACCCAAAAAACCTATTCATTAAAAACACAGTAAAATATGTGGAGAAGCCAAGGACATTCTCTCTATCCTGTTTTAAAGAAAATAAATCCACAAATAAAATTATTAATCTGATGCAAGCCAGGTGCTGGCAACATTTATGGATGGCAGGCCAGTGCTTGTGTCCCACTGCCAGGAGCTACCAACTGTCCATTCTCCCTGCTCTCTCTCCTCTGGGCCCTGCAATCTGCTTACTGTTGTAATAAGGTACCACAGAGTTACATGGCCAACAACTGTGCAGAGAAGCAAATTTGGTGGTGGCAATAAGTACAAGAAACAAGAGAAGAAAAAGGTGGAATGAGAGACAGGAATTCTTCAGTACCTCTACTGCCATTGATTCCCCCGGGCTGCCATGGGTCAGATCCAAACTCTTTACAGGCTGGACCAGACCACCGGCAATAGGTTGCCAGTCTCCGATCTAAGGCACATTAGTTAAAATGCTCATATCTATTAAAACTGGAGATATGTACTTCAGGGAAGAGGCTTACTTGCTAAGTAAGCGTATTATAATAAATAAAATATGCATGATAACTAAGCAATCCTGAGACTCTTTATTCAAACAAGCATAATTTACCTTGAGAAGTTATCACTGGCTTTACAGTAGAGATTATAGGCTATACTAATTGAAACAGCCATTTTCCAGTCTCCAAGTTTGTGTGTTAACCACACAGCCTCTGGAATCAGTCCACCAACAAAGAGCAATTCAAGAGCATATTCAGCTGTCCATACAGAAGACAGATTCTGATCTCTAACAGCATTGGTGACCAAACTATGCTGCAATGGAATAACTCGAGGATGTTTGTCTATAAAATAAAGATATGGTTTAATAATGGGAAACCATTAATAGTAATACAACTAGCACCTTAGCTAAGATAAATCCAAAATTTACAGTGTGAAATTTGTTCATGCAGTTTTGTGGTACAACTGATTTTTTTATTCCCTAAATAATGTGGCGCACGGGTTTTTAAAGAACAGTACTATAGATTAGATCCTCAACTGGTGAAAAATTTCACAGCAACTCTACTAATGTCACAGTTTCACAGAAACTCTACTAATGTTCTTTTCCCTGTCTGACTAACAGATTGTAAATAGGTTACTTCTTAGATCTCTCTTTTATGAATTAATTTCACTGTCCAAAAACTTAAATTACAAAGAATTAAAGCTGATCAGAAGTGGATATGAAATATACAGAAAACAGACATTCAGCCTGAACTCTACAACAAAGTGTTTGGGAGGTGAATCCATACTCTCCTGACATTTTCTATTTTTTTCTGAAGAGGTAATTCTGATAAAGAAGCAAATGACCAGGAGACACAAGGAAGCTTCTTAGAAACAGCTTCACTGTCACACAGCTACCAGTTCTGCTCTCTGCCTTGCTGTTCCACACTCCCAAGCAAGGTTAAGAGGACAAAGTTCAGGAAAGAAAATAGTATCAAAACCATTTTGAGCTCTCCTTTGGAGGAGCATGTGGGAGTGGAGAGGAGCCCAAGGCTCCAAACTTCATACTCCACACTGGAGCTAGTGTAATGAGAAGAGGTCTGCACAACCCTCTGCAGCACAGGGTGATTGAAGAATTTTACATGCTACATTTCCCTCTGTGGGATATTTTCAGATTAATCAGAATTTTCCTAAGGAGGTAAACACAAGCAGTAGCTGTGAACTGACCCATCCTCTGCAGGGGTATTCATTTGATCCTCTATCAAAATTTAACCCAGCCCTCGTTATGGAATACCAGTTTAAGACAATCTTGATAAACACATGGGTCTTAGAGAACTACGAATATTTAAATCAGTGCCTTATTGTAAAGCCTACATCTGTTTCACCTCTTGACCAAGTAACTCCAATTTAGCACCTCCCATGGCACAAAAATATTTACAATAATCTTTGTGGACACATGGATAATTATACAGCATTTCAAAATTAAAAGAACATTAGAAAGTTAAGGAGAATGCAGCTAGGTATAAGCTGAAGTTAATCTTGAGTACGTAGTGGCTATTTGGATAGGATAAGAACCAAAGTGAACCAAAGTTTTAGCATGGAGTATAAAAAAAAATGATTTCATATGATTTTGAGGAGAAGCCCATATCTTGGGTCACCAAGGTTCAAATAACCTCAATTTCAGATGACTAACTCTCTACTGACTCTCCACAGGGCACTGGAATTTTCATGACAATCCAAATGAACAACGATTATACAGTGAACTGAAAATACTCTGTACTGTACATTTTAGGTACAACTTGAAAGCTGATATTTAAAAATGAAAACATTCTCAACAATCATCACAGCTGGACATATTTAATCCTCACCAAGATATCTAAAAACTAATAATGTTATCTTGTACTTAATACCAATAATCCTGAAAATTTAAAAATACAGGGATAAAACAGAGAACAATCCTTTTAAAGTTAGGCAGTACTGACACACAAGTAAAAGTAAGTCATGAGAGCAAGCTACACCTAATTAAATATTTTAAATGAATACCTGGTTTGATGTGAAGTGGAGGTAGGACACCAACATTATGTGAGGGGAGCACATACAGTATCTGATTTGTGAAGTAAGCTGCCATGAATCGTGCCATGGACTGAATTACAGCCATAGCGGCTTCAGTATGAACATCTTCTATCATCCACAGCTCATGCTGAGAATACTTAAAATCTAAAAATGATAGGTATCCAATTAGAACATTTTTAAATTAACTATAAAACTAAAAGCTTAAAATTATTTAAGTACGGCCCATAAAAAAGTACTCAACAAGCAAACTGACAGCTTTTCCAAACCTTTAATAAAGGAAAACTTAAGAGGCTTCTTACTACTAATTCCAAGTTAGCATTCATTCCCCTTGAAGACTGTTGTTTCCTACCACTATAATACAGAGATCGGTTTCAATCAGAAGACAGCGATCTACAACTCTTAGGCTGAATCCAGTGTATATTTAGCCTTGATTCTAAAAGTTGCCAGGGTTTCAGCTATTCAAATCCAAGATTCTGATTTGGTCATTTACTAAACTAACTAGCCACAAAATGCAGATCCATACCAGAAGACAAATATCTCCAAAGGTATATTTGGATTTAGGATTTTTTTGTGACCAACTCTGCTACAATATATATTTTTAAAGTATAAAATGAAAAAAAATGAGCCCCTGAGACTCAGGCCCCTCCACATGTTACAGGTATTGTGCCATTAACTGGTTAACTGCACAATTACCTGGAGACCGGCTACACATGCAAAGCAGCTATCACATAATAAAAAGCTCCCACCAGCTACAAAGTTAGACCTCAAATATGTGTCCTAACTTTATAACTGGTTGCTACTGAGCTTTAATTTTCAGGTATAGCAGCGTCTCCCCTGCAGCTGAGAGCCCCATCAGCTGACAGAGCTCCCAACCACACGGGTGCAACATACCTAGCATAAAATCCCTGGACCCTGGGGATCACATCTGTCACAATCCCTAGGGGTCAGGAGTGCATGAACCCCCTGGACCCTGGGGATTGCAGCTGCTGTAATCTCTAGGGCTTCAGGGTGTGGGAAACCCCCCAGGCCGGAGAATTGCTGTAGCAATCCCCTGACCCCAGGGGTTTCCCACACCTTCAGGTCAGGAGGAAAGCCAATGCAGTGATCCTTCAACCTCAGGGGGTTTTCCGCAACCTCAGGGCAGGGAGGATAACCCTGCCGTGATCCCCAAGCCTCGGGAGGTAGGGGGGAGGTGGGACTGCCCCTATGGCAATCTTCAAAAGTCAGGAGTTTCCAAACCCCTGGAGCAGGGGGAAATCGTCATCACAGGAATCCTCCCACCCCAGGGTTTCACAGATCCCTGGGCATGTGTGGCATGGCAGGAGGTGCAATTGTGTGAATTGTGCACTAGATACCATCATGCCTTTACCTGCACGTGTAGAGGTGAACATAGGCTTAATCTTAAAAGTTCACTGAAGTAAAAAAAAACCTTTAAATGGACAGAAGAGGGCTTTTTGTACTTCTTAAGAAAAAACATACACAGTCTACACAAGTTTCTCAGAACCTTCAGACAGAAATAACGATATTAAAATTCTATGGGACATAAGAGTTAGATATCAGGTTATCCAATGGATATAAAGATACATTAGTATACTGACCTAGTCTTTTATATAAAATAAACATACCAGAGAAATCTTCCATCTGCCTCATGCAAAGCTGAGATCGCCTTAGTATTTCTCCCACAAGATGATCACAAAGCCCCTGAGCCTCACGTAAATTATAGTGATATAGCTGGCAATATAATATGGCCAGGAAATATCTAGTTTGAAGAAAATGTGCTCTTATTCCTCCTGAATTAAAAAGAAGAAATATATGCAGTACTGTATATTCAAAAGCACAGAAGCATAGTTGTAGACAGGAAGGGCCACAGAAAAAAAGAAATAGTTGCAGTGACAATTAGCGATGTAGAGGGAAGCAAGCAAGTACAAATACAGACATCGAAAGGCTAAAAATCTCCCCCTAAAAATTCCTGTGTGAATGATGCAGGTAAGGATCCACAGTTTACAAAACAAGTAGAACTGAGCAGTTATTCTGCAAACCATTATATTCCAATTCAGGAATGTTTAAAGGAGTTAATTCTCTTTAGAGTCCTACTTCTGCAGCTTTTACTTCTTTCAAAAAAGAGGATTAATAAGCAGTTGTGATAATGCAAAGGCAGCACGGCTCAAGCAAGACATGCAGCCAGGAAAGGCTGTCTAAGAAGCAACAAGGAGGATGTAGACACGTTGGGTGCCTATACATGAACGCCGAGGGTAGTCTGACACGCTGGAATTCCAGTGTGCTGGAGCAGACTCAATTAGTTGAGCCTGCTGGAGCATGGCAATTGTCACGTTCCAACAGCTTCCCATTTCTCATGTA